CTTGCTTCTGCCACAAATTCCCCCAGCTGTGAGCCTTCCAACCTTCTAAGTATTCCTTTATATGTGGTTCAGAGTTCTGGGACCATCCCCTGAACCTGCTTGGTCGGGTATTCTGTGTTGTTGGCGGAGCTCTCTGCTATACGTCCACCTGATCCACCATCTTGTTTATTATCGACAAAACCTTTTTAAAGTGTTGAAGAGCAAAGATATCAGTTTGCACCTGAGCCAAGCCATGATATTTTCAATAACCTCATATGCATGTGTGAAAGCTGGACAGTGAATAAGGAAGAATTGATGTATTTGAGTTATGGTGTTGGAGGAGAATATTGAAAGAACCATGGACTGCCAAAAGAACAAACAAATTCTTGCTGGAAGAAGTACAATTAGAATGCTTTTTAGAAGCCAGGGGGCAAGACTTCATCTTTCATACTTAAGACATGTTTTTAGGAGGGAGCAGTCCCTGGAGAAGAACATCATGCTAGGTAAAGTGGAGGGTCATCAAGAAAAAGACCCAATGAGATGGATTGGTGCAGTGGCAGCAGGAATGGGCTCAAGTTTATCAACAATTATGAGGATGCAGGACCGGACAGTGTTTCATTCTACTGTGCATAAGGTCACTCTGAGTTGGAACTGACTCAGTGACAACAACTTCACTTTCAACAAGTAAGGCTGTATCATTTGCATATTATAAGTTGTTAATGAGTCCTCAAATCCTGATGCCATGTTCTTCATTTAATTCAATGTCTCAGATTATTTGCTCAGCATGCAGATTGAATAAGTATGATGGAAAGACACAGCCCTGACAAACACCTTTCCTGATTTAAAACTATTCAGTGTTCAAACGACTACCTCTTAAAGTCTATGTACAAGTTCCTCAAGAGCATAATCAAGTGTTTTGGAATATCTATTTTTCATAATGTCCATAGTCAGGTAAACGTCTTTCTGATATTCTCTGCTTTTGGCCAAGATCTATCTGATGTCTATAATGATATCTCTAGTTCCACTTCCTCTTCTGATCTGGCTTGAATTCTGGTAATTCTCTATGTACTATTGCAACCATTTTTAAATTGTCTTCAGCAAAATTTTACTTGCATGTAATATTAATGATATTGTTCGATGATTTCTGCATTCCACTGGGTCACCCCTATCTGTAATGGGCACAGATATGGATCTTTTTCAATTTCTTGGCCAGATAACTGTCTCCAGATTTCCTGGAATCGATGAGTAAGTGCCTCCAGTGTTACATCAGTTTGTTGAAAGATTTCAGTTTGTATTCTGCCAATTTCTGGAGCATTGTTTTTTGCCAGTACCTTCAGAGCAGCTTG